CAGCACCAGAGGCTTAGATCAGAGTACCTCTTGAAAGATTACAAGAAGATACTCAAGATGCGCAAGATGGAGAATGAACGAATGCGACATGAACGAGAAGATAAGAATGAGGACTCCATGGTTCAATCTGAAAGCGCAGGCTCACAATTGGATAACCCAGAAGCCGACCACGACTTGGAAATGGTCCGAAAGAAGTTGGTAGAAGAGAAGTCGAAACACAAGAACAGCTTAAAGCTGGTTCACGACGCGGCCTCAAGTAGCATACAAGGAGGGTTGCTTCCCATTTTCAAAGCATTGGAGAGTTTCACGTCCGAAGCCGTGAAAGCGCACGAGCAAGTCAGGTTACAAACTCTTAAGCAATGATATTTTATATTTTATATTATTCCAAATTCCAGTATTATTAGGCTATATATGATGATCCTTGCAAAATGCATGGAGTGTTTTTTATTTTTTTCCATTAGTGAGCTAACAAGAGAGAGTGGAATTTGGATGGGCTGATGATCATATCTGTCTACTACAATGCTGCAGAGGTTCTCTAACCTCTAACCTTCTTTTGATTATAGGCTTTTGTACAGTTTTTGAAGTTCATTCATTATTTATTAGTGCTAATCATGTTCTTATTGACCAAAATTATGAGTTTGATTAACATGATGAAGAGAATATCTTTTGTGTTTTTTTAAAACTAAATTTCGGCGATATGAATAAATTTATTTGGAACTGAATAAACTAAAAAAGAGATTTTTATCACAAAATGTTTGGAAACTCTTAGAATCCTCAGTAATATGGTTAAAGTAAGATCAACTCCCATGACCATGAATATATAATTAATGTCATGTATTTTAAGGCTTTGTTTGGTACACGGAATTTAAGTTGCGGAATTGGAATTGGGAATTTTAATTCTAATTCTGGTATTTGGTAGTACAAAAATATGTGAATTTTAAATTGATAGTGCAAAAAATAAATTGGAATTGGAGAGCTCAATTCCATAGATTTTCCATTCTAATTTCGTCAATTTCGTGGACCAAATGGATCCTAAGTGTCAGATTAACTTCTTTCCTATATAAAGAAATGAATGAATAATGCAATTCAATATGTTAATGTACTTCCTAATGAGTAGGCTTCTAAAATGGAGAATCATAATATCCTCAACTCATGAAGTGTTTGTATTCTAATTGTATATCTACTTACTAAACAACGTGTCCATTGTGGAGAAAACTACTAGCATACTTCAAACAATTCCTCGCCATTGAATAACTGTTAGAATCTTACATTGAAACCCTACAAAATGTTGTTTAAAAATAAAATATTATTCTGAAGTCACCAATCGATTGAATTTTATATTTTAACGCAGTTTGAATCTTTGATTTGTCACCAACCTAATCCCGAATATTAACATAGTACTAGAGCGGACAATGACCCACTTGACCAATGGCCGCCTTGTTTTTCTTTTTTCCCTCGGGAACTCAAGCCATATTGGTCTGTGAATCTTTAGTCCAATTGCCCTAATGAATATATCCATACCCAACAGCTTGTAATTAGCCTGATTGTCTCTCTAGAAGTCGATTCCCAAGAGTTGTTGTCTTTTGATATGTTTTCGTTACATTTTAATTGTTGATTTTAGGGGAGAGAAGTACAAGTTGGATAGATACGTCACTATACCTTGCTATCGTGGTTTGTGATAGTTGCTGCTAGGATACGTTAGATCTGTCGTCACTATCACGAATTAGATCGGGTCAACGTGGTTGTGACTAGTTGAGGGGATAAGTACTACCGATGGAAAGTAATGACCATCAATAGAAATGAATGATAACGATTATTTGCAACAAAACGGAGAGTAACGATCGATAAGGAAAATGAATAGAAGGGCCAATAATGAATATAGACTTTAACGGTGGGCGAAATCATCGCTTCGCAGTTAACAGTAATAACATCATAATGAATACTGTTGGACAGTAACGGTAACACCAAGAACATTGTCATGAAAAGAAATAGTAATGATGGACAATAATTGTGATAGTCATCGTCTCGCAGCTGGCGCTGATAAACAGAAACGGTGATGGTGTACTATATATAACAGGTTGAACGACGAACGATGCATTAGAATTAAAAATCTATACTAATTGGAAATTATTAAAATACTAATTAATTGACATTTAATATAATATAAGAGGTAGTCTTTTTAGTTCATCTAAGAGTAAAATTAATACTTCCTCCGTCCCGCTATATTCGTCCACTTTTGACTTTTGGAACTATTCATCTAAACACTTTGACTCATCAAATTCTTTCAATGTATAAGCCTAAATATAGTCATGTGTAATCTTGTTTGATTTGTCTTAACATATAGATTATTAATATATAATTTCTATAACTTTTTAATATACAAATTATAAGATAAAATGGATTAAAGAAGTGTATTAGATGGTGTGTAAAAATAAAAGTGGACAAATATTCTGGGACGGAAGCAATATAATATATGGATGCATGGTATGAGAGTATTATCTAAAACAATAAAAGAGCATTTAAAGGTCTGAAAATCCTTCCAACATAGAAACGCGCCGAAGGCATCTGTCTAAAAATATCCATAAAAGATAAGGACTTCTTCATTGATATATTGATGCCACCACCCACCCCGGCTCCACTCTTACTAATTACTCCCTTCGTCCGGAAATGTTCTTTCCATTTGACTTTTTTCGATTTTCAAGATTGTACTTTGAACACTAATATCTTTATTTATACATGAATATATTTTATAAAAATTTGATGTTTGAAAACTATATTTCAAAATGAATATATTCATATTAAAGTTATATCGTAATACAATGTATTTTTTCCACATATCATAGTTAAAGTTTATAAACTTTGACCAAGAAAAGTCAAATGAAAAGAATATTTTCGGACGGAGAGAGTAATTAAATAGAGGCACCGATCCCATAAAAAAGAAAAAAGAAAACGTTATATATATAATATATGCACCGAAAATGAATCCCAAATCAAATAAATTAGTACTCCTTCTCTCCAGCACTACCACCACAATGGACCGAATACGAAAATTAAAAAAAGTAAAATTATATGTCAAAAGTGAAAAGACGAAAATAATATTCCTTCTGTCCAGAAATGTTTTTCCCATTTAATTTTTTACGGTCTCCAAGATTGCACTTTGACCACTAATATCTTTATTTATATATGGATATATTTAATAAAAATTTGATATTTGAAAACTATATTTCAAAATGATTATATTCATATTAAAGTTATATCGTAATATAATGTATTTTTTCCACATATTATAGTCAAAGTTTACAAACTTTGACCAAGAAAAGTCAAATAAGAAGTACCAAAACAAGAATTTCATGTTTTTATTTGACTTTTTTTAAAATGAACGAAAAAAGCACGTAGTATAAAATATAAGAAATCACCTTAAATACGACTAAAACATATGGGAAGTACCAAAATAAGAATTTCATGTTTTTATTTCCTAAATAGTAGTTCGCACTGTGATAATGTGGCACTGTACATGTACATTTCACGTAATGTACCTAGTCATGATTGGTAATGCAAATATATTTTAACTTCTATTTCAAGAATAAAAATATAGAAATTATATTTTGATATATTTTAAATATTTTACTCATATATTTAAGTCTTTTTCTATTAAACATTCTCCAAAAGGTGAAATCGCTCACCCCGGGCACCCCTCACCCCCGACCCGACGGGAATGTGAGAGGAGGTAAATCACGGTGACCCAAGCACAACACTAGCTAGACCATATCCTAGTGCGCACCAGAAACTCCCCCCATTTTTTAGAGGTGGTCGTCTCCACAACGGTCGCTGCCAGGTTTTGATCCTTGGTCATTCTCCAAACTTCACCAAGTGTTTGCCACTTGGGCTACCCGTGCGGGTTTTTTCTATTAAACATGATTGGAGAAGGAAGGGAGGAAATAATGAATAGTACAGCAAAGCAAAGCAGAGCAACCTCATCACGTTTCCGCTGAATAATTATGTGTATGCTGCCAACACACGCCCTTACCCCTTGCACCATTTTTGTTGCGCCCTTAACAAATTATTATTTTTAATTTCGAGTTCGTTTCATAACAATTTCAGCGTTTAATTTAAGAAATTTAAAAGTACTATCTAATGGGAATTTAAAAAGTCAATAATAAATATACCCTCTTTATTTTTTTCTCATTAGTCGAAATAGAAACCGTTTTGATAAACGGAGAGAGTAATACATACCGAAAATGATTATAAAAAAAATAAAAAACAAAAAAATATTTATAGAAAAACTCACGGAGTAACGATAAAATAGTAAACAAAGACAAAAAGAGTGTGTGTGTTTATATTTTTTTAATTGATTATACAAAATGCAACCAATAATATATATCAAAATTAAAATAAAATAAAAAAATGCAACATATATATATAAGCATGTAGTATGTGTCCCTCACCTCTGTCTCTCTCGATCTGTGTATACGTATTTAAGGTGTTGACCAACTTGTACTAGCTAGTGTTATATATATATATATATATATATATATATATATATATATATATATATATATATATATATATATATATATATATATATATATATATATATATATATATATATATATATATATATATATATATATATATATATATATATATATATATATATATATATATATATACCCCTTGGTTCCTTTGACATTGAGAACCAA